GATATTTCAACAAGTAAAAGTTTTATCAACCCTCCTTCTTAATACCTCGCTAAAATATTTACAGAAGCGAATGAGAAACTTCGGGAGTACTATGTAAAAGGTAAAGATAACAAACAACGGTCGATCTCCATCTAACACATTACAAATCTTTAAAGGGGGCAAATACGAAACCCCCGGAAATTCCAGAGTTGGGAGCAGGTGCCTAGGAGGAGTTAGAATCCCTGTTGATCGGTCATACTCACCGTGAGGCTTATGAATGGATCAAGGATACTTTGCATGTTCAAATCTAGTACAAAAACAAAGGCCTAACATTTAGTATAAATCAAGTCAGTCCAAATACATTCCAACGATAGTTTATATTTGCTAACAAGGTCATTATAACGACCATAGAATTAACAAAATATTGACTATATTGGTTGATTGATTCCCAATAATATAATTTATAATTACTTTTTGAGTAATTTTGCTGATGACCAATTTTTTAAATTAAAAAAGTTGTTGCCTATAATATATAAAAAAGTTTAGATTTTAATTTATCGTGAAGAGTGAAAAAGTTGTTAGTTTTGACGTTTCAGATTTTAAAAAAAATGGTGATCTTTTAAGTTTCGGAAAGTCCTTTGGGTTTTTGAGGATCCACATCTGATTTACGCCACTTCAAGAATATGCTGTAACACAGACCATCTGACGTTTCCTCTTTACAGCTGTTAATATTTTTGAAAGGAGTAAAAATAAAGGCTTGGTAGATCATTTGCTGGATTCAGCAATGAATCATGGTTTGTAAGAATTTTCATGAAGTTTAGGAATCCAGCACAGGTAGAGTAAATCAAACACACGTTTGTTGAATGTTGTATATAAATGAAATATATGAAGTGATAAAATATATGGAAATAACAAACAATATTCAAGCTCAAAAGTCCATTAAACAATACAAAATAGGAGCAGAGCAAACACAGACCTCCAAAACATCAGAGGTGGGATCAGGTGCCATGGAGGAGTGAGCATCCCCTGCCGACCGGTCACGCCCGCCGTGTGCTCCTTGTCATGATCGGGAAATAACGGAAAAATCCGTCGACAATTCAGTGTGTAAATAATGGCTTAACAATTAGTATGAAAAACGTCAGTCAGCATTTGACTCAGTGATAAATTGTATTTGCTGACGTCATTGTATCGACCATAGAACTTACGTAATGATGACTTTAAACGAGACTACTGATATTCTTGTTTCATCAACTTGTTTGTCAATAATTTACCTCGTTTTAGAAATTGTACATACGTAAAGCATGCTCTTGCGTATCGATTTAACTGAGAAATATAAACCCCGTATGCAGGTGATAAAGATATATTGCTGCATAAGTAATGGAAGTTGACGATTGAAATGGCAAAGTCATCACGTTTATCATAAAGCTTGGTTGTTAGATTACCATTAACGTCCTTCTCTAGTAAAATATTCAAATATGAAGCAGATGTGTCAGAGTCTGTGGTATCTTTCATTTCAAGCTCACCGGCATATATCGTGTCAACATAAGAATGGAAATAACCATTGTTAATTGACAATATGTCGTCGATATATCTAAATGTCGAGCTGAAAGCACAGCAAGTGTTTTCTTCTTTTCAGATATAAGATTTTGAACGAATTCTGCTTCACATGAATACGAAAATAGGTCTGCTAATAGCGGGGCGCAATTGGTACCCATGGGAATTCCAACAGACTGTTGGAAGACCTGGTCTCCAAAAACCACGTAGATATTGTCAATCAGAAACTCAAGCATCTTTTTTCATATCAACTTCAGAGTACATGTGTGTACAATCAGAATGTTTTCAACGAAATAATTTTGCAAATGACCAATGGCAATGTAAGTAAATTTACGAGTTCCGTTTTCATTGAAAAAGCAGCTGTCAATGATATCAAAAAGCCTGGACTTTCATTTATCGTTGGAATTTGTTGTTTATAAAGTTGAAAAGTCGTTAGTTTTTATGTTGTTGAATTTGGTAAGATCTTCTAATATCAAATTTTCAAAAAATTCCTTAGAATATTTACGGATCCACATTTGATTTACACCACTTCTCGAAAATATTGTTGCATAGTACTCCTGAAGTTTCTCCTTCCCTGCTGTTAATATTTAAGTGAGGAGTAAAGAATGAGGCTTGGTAGATCATTTACCCGCTATGTATCGCAGAAATATGGTTTTGAAGAATTTCTTCCTTGGAGAGTGAACGGTGCCTATATGTTGGATTTCCAGACGTAGAATTAAAACCAAGTTCTTTCAAAATACAATAGTAATAACAAAACTTTGCAAACAAGACGCTATTGATTATAATTTATAAAAAAATTATTTCAAACTGACATGTGGTTTTGGAGAAATTCCTCCTACGAAAGGAATCTGTGGGTATAAATTGCTAACCATTGGCGGAATTAAATTCCAGCTTCTTTAAATTATAATTAAAATAACTCTTATTAATAAAAAAATATTCTTCCCATGCTTTATCAGCTGTGACAAGTAAATACTGATACTCTTATCTATCTATTTTTTTTTTCACTTTTGTATAACTGAAGAGAGAATGATAGATGTTTTCAAGTTTTCACTCAATCGCTTTATGCGAATACAAATGAAACTAGATGAAGACACTTGCAGAATACATGTATTACGATTTTTAAATTGTGGTTCTGTGTTCAAAAATGTTTTCTCCTGTAAATAATTTGTGGAAACATTTTGAACAAAATATGTGCAATACTAAACTATCTTTCACGTGATATCAACAAAAATGCGCTATCCCCTAAAATAAGGGATCTAGAGAGGCCTTAGATTTTTGCTCAATATTTCAAAAACTATTGAGAATTTGTATACATCTTTGAAGCAAATTTGTTCAGAATAACAAGTTGCAGCTAGTGAGAAAATCATGTCGTCTAATGACGTCACTTCCGGCGAAACCGGAAATAGTGAGAGAATACATTTTTGCCTTTATCGACAATCTATTGGGTGATTTTTTTGTCACCGGAAACGTCAAAGAAAATTTTTCGTCCATCAGTGTCACTTCTGGTCAAATCTGAAGTAGCCAGAAATGGCTTATTTTTGCAGGTATTGACACAGAATTGAAGGATTTTAAGTCACTGGAGACGTGTGACCTTATTTTTCATCAACTGACGTCAATTCCAGTCACTTCCGGTCATACCGGAATAGCTTATTTTTCAAGTTTCCACTCAAATTCGAAGAATTACATGTAACGTCACTGGAGACGTCTAAACTTATTTTTTTTATATTAACGTCATTTCCGGTCAAACTGGAAGGAAGATCTACTTGTTGCTTTGCAACGAGATTTGCCATAGTTATAAGTATCCTTTTTTCATAGTTCAGGCCATATCTCAGCTGTGGTTGGACGGATTTGAAAGATTTTTTCAAGGTGTGTCCCTCACTTTTTCGAAATTCACTTTGGGGGATATTTTATTCTTAAATGGAATTTTGTCACATATTCTTCTCAAAACGTCTAAAGATATGAAAATGAAACTTATGGACGTGGTAGAGGATCACATGTAGACGTGTTGATCGACCTTCATTTTTCATCGTTCATTTCTATAGGATTAACAGGGTTTATAGTGTCTTCTAAGAATTTTCAATATGTTTCCAATATTTTGATACGTGCATTTATTGCACGTATCATTATGGCCGATCCAATCTTTGTCACACTGTTGGGGGTTCGAATCCCGCTCGAGGCAGTAATTTTTTGTCTCTTTTCTCAGTAGTTAATGACATTTCTCTCTTTGAAATCATGTATGGATAGTTTTGCCGATTTTTCAAAGCTTTTTTTTAAAATCAGATATTCTGAAGAAACCAAAAATAACCATGATCTATTTAGAAAGATTGTGGTACATGAATGCAAACGAAAAAATACATTCTGTAAAGTATTGAATAGGATGATGTTGCATGTCGTTCTGGAGAAAGGTCGATCGGAAGACCACTTGTGGTCATAGCAACCAGAAAGGCATCTAGTTTTTTTTTTATTATTTGTCAATGAATCCTACCCCAAGAAGAGGAGGTATCAATTTTAGTATATATGAATCTTCACTACAAAAGGACACCTGCACTTAACAATAACAATCTAAGACAAAATTGCATTGAGAAAGACTTGCACATTTTTTTCTTTATTTTCACTTAATCATATTACCTACTTAAGGACATACGCAACGTACCTTACCTACTGATAATTTTTCAAGATATTCTTAATATAAGATTATAGTGCCATCAGATGTTCATCGACAAAAAATCAGCATGCATTACCAGGGGTATTGAAAAGATATTAATTGATGAAAATTCTTGTATAATTCAAAGAAAAATACACAAGAATTACTAAACATATATTCTACATGTTTTGTTTATCAAAAATTGTTTTAGAAGAAGTGTACAACAGCATATATAGACATAAAAATGTAGCACACAATTTCTTTTAGTATTGGAACTCTTCAACTCCAGGGAAAAAGACAATAAAGTTCAAAGTACGTTGCGTATGTCCTTAAAGTTACGGTTTAAAAACATCATTATTACTTCAGGGTGTTAGAATACTTAAATAGGCAATCATGACAAAGATGACACACGGAATACAGACAACAAAATGGGCAATGATGAATATTTGATAAGAAGGGAACATTTGAGACTGAGACTCATGTAAGCTTATATTAATATATTCAATAATGTTCATAATGGATAAAGTACGGAAGCTGGTAGGAGTCAGGAAGAAAAAAAAATATTTTATCTGGCGGCCGAAAACAATTATCTGATGGCAGCCACATAAAAAAAACTGGCAACCGTCAGAAAGTTGTCTGGCGGCCGCGCGCCATATAACTTTCTGGCGACCACCAGAAGGTTAACTGGCGGCCGCAAGATAATTCTTTGGCGACCGCCAGTTATTTATGTGGCGGCCGCCAGATTTTTCTACCTGGAACCTACATGCTTCCGCAGTAAAGCAACAAGATAAATTGTAAAAAAAATTAATGCACAAGTTTATACCTTTAGGAGCCATTGAGTATGTAGACAGTCATCCTTTTTAAAATGGCAGTCTTTACAGGAAAGAGTCTTCAAAAAAAAATTTAAAAAGGAAAGAATTATCATGAAAATAACACTTTTAGAAAAATTCAATTTATTTGAAATAGTATTCATGATATAAAACATCTGATAGGCATATAAGATCCGATATTCTCATGAATAACATTATATTTCTGTTTTATGCAATGACAAATGATGCATGTCTGAAAAACCTGATGGACTGATTGATTGTGTGTTGTTTTTCATCTCATTCGAGATTTTTCGATACATATAGAGAACTCACCATACACCGGTGAAGGGCTTCCAATTTAGACCTTTATTTGGCACTCAAGGCCATTGAACAGTGAGGGATCTTTATCATGCCAACGTCTTCTTTGAAGTTGGGTCTCGATTTTAATATATATTCCGAAGGACCCACAACTTTCACTTCAAAGTGCCGAGCGCTTGCTAAAAGAACTTTCACTTCAAAGTGCCGAGCGCTTGGCAAAGGAACAGTTGCTACATATTTTTTTATCTACATGTACTTAGTAGCAGAAAAGATGTTAACTCGCGACCTACCTATCATGTTTGATGAAAGTTTAGATTAAAGCGTGCGATAACGAACTTTTGACTCTAGGTTTTTTCAGTTGCACGTACCTGTTCATAAAGTTCTGATAAATTCCATAATTTAAATTCAACTCCATGATCAAGTAAAACTCGAACATAATCACATCTGTTGGCAATTAATGCTTCAAAAAGCAGCATCTGAAAAGCAAGAAAATAACATAAAATGGAAAATTTTCCCAAAAAAATTTAGAATAGCATGTTTAAGTAAATATCGGTGAAGATAAATTATTTTAACGCGTGATATCACCTAAATATTTGTAAATAAAAGCATTCTATGTTGATGTTATTCACTTACAGGACAAGATCTGCCTAGAATAAAGGATTCATTTATACATTGATTCACAAGATCAGCACACTTGCTCTCAATTTCTTGCTGACTGTCCAAAAATAAAATTGATCAAGGTCATTATATATGATGAACAATTACTGGAATACGGATACACTGTATATGGAAATATTCATTAATTTTTTTTAGTTAGATTATGTCTTGCATAACTACATCTCTTGAGTACGAGAAGGAAGTGTTAATCAATAGTCGCTTTCATATAATTCCAGCCATAATAACATGCAGCGAATCATTCTAGCTCATTCCGCAGATCCGTTGGAGCTTATCCAAAAATTAGAAATGGAGAGGGCTACATATATGTACATGTATTTGCAGCTTTATGCATGCATAAATGTGAAAAATGATTCAAACCAACTCACATGGCCGTATTCTTTAAGTTTTTTTAACTCTTGCAGAAACTGGTATTCAAAATAAAAGTACAATGGTAGGGAGGTTGGAGATGAGTATTTCGTGTCTAAAACATAAGCCCTTGATTCCCTGTGTTGCGAAAATACTTTATTTATTTCCTCCTCCTTTGGCAGTATCGCATTACTTTTACAAATCTGTCCTCCGGATACTGTTGCACCGATTTGTACATAACCGTTACTTTGTAAAAAGGGCAATGTCCTCACCGCCTGCAGCTCTGAATGACTTTTCATACTTGCATCTGTATAAGCATATAAAAAATGTCTACCTTAAATAGATAGATTTTATTATATTCAGTAATACATGTAACATAATGCAATGCATTCAATTTTTTCCACTGTTTTTCTTCGTAAAATGGTGGAAGAAAAAAAATCCAACTTTTGGCTTTAAAGTTGTAAAGGATCTTTTATTATTTAAGTTATTTCCATCCTCACCCTTCGGTGAGTATTATAAGGTTTGATCATGTAACCAACTGCATGTTGTCTCCCAATAAAAGCCTTAAATGACACCTTAACGTAACATTTTAAGTGAAGAGTATTATAGAAATTATGTAAAAACTGGTTCAAATGCATAATTATAATGCTTAATGCTATAAAATAATAATTTTTTGATAAATATGTTTGAATAGTGAATATCAGATATACAATTGTACATAAAAAAGAATAAAGAAAATGCTTGAATAAAGATACATCAGAGAGTTATTGCCCCTAGCAACATTTTTAAATTTTCAAAAGATCGATTAATTCATTGAGGAAAGAAAGAAGGACGCAAGTTGCGGGACATGACAACATATCATAGAGGGATCAACGTATAACTCTAACGGGAGGCAATTTACAGTCAACGCAAATATGTCTTGTGACACTAAAATGTAATATATGTAATTACATGTCCTGGATGCCAGCAATATTACATCGGGAAAACAAGCAACCCGCTTCGCGCCCGTGTGCGTGTCCACCGGAATATCGGCCAATCCCTTTAAGTGAGCATTTGGATCGCTGTGAAAATAAACAGTTTATTATTTTTCCTTTCTACAAACTTTCAAATGAAAGTGACATCCAGATCGAGACGCCAAAAAGAAAAATAATTTATACATATTTTCAAACCTAAACTTAATAATCTATCGTAATCGTAATCACAATTGTACATATTGTTTTCATTCTACAATTTTCCCGCATTGTTTAACTATGACGTCACGATAGACGCTAGAATTTGTGCTCCGCTCATTATGACGTTATGTCGCTTTGTTACTTATTGTAAAGCTTCTGAAGATTGGAAATGAAAGCGCATATATAAAGCTTTACTAAACGAAGAGAAGCGCACTTCAACAGAGTACACCCGAGAGACTGGACGTATTTCATAGCTGTCCGGATTTATTTCTTTACAACTGATTATGAAATTCAAATTTAACATGTAACATTGTAAATAAATAGTGTTTGGTAGTTCAGTAGTAGTGCTAGCCGTTTTTGTTTTTCTATTTCCTTTGTTTTTAGGACTTTTTTTCTTTGTCCTGAGGAAGGGACAGGGCGTCCCGAAAATTTGACAATTTCTATTTTAAATATATATATATATATATATATATATATATATATATATATATATATATATATATATATATATATATATATATGATTGCGCCCATGACAAAAGGGCCTTATGGCAATTTTGCTAAAACAGAGATATAACGTCATAAAGATATGACGTTGCAGACGGTGAGCGTCGACGCAGATTTTTTTTATCCACGTGTTTTACATTTTGACACGTCTAGCTCACTTTTGTCGTTGTTCTCAACATTGAAATAATTATTTATTTTCATTTATATCTTTAATTCACGTCTTGATCTTCTAGTCCACTGATATTAATTAAAATATTTAGAATTTTATTCGAGACCCGTTTCTTTACTACATGTTATTGTAGCTTTATACGTCTCTGATCTGGGCTATGCATTTCCTATGTACATGTATAGAAGCTTCAGACAAGGTGATTTTCTGGATAATTGAATATGGATGAACGAACGTGATTTTGATATATAGACAAATTGAAGTTATTTATTAGACATGGGTATATTATCAAAATATTGCAGAGGAAATCGTTGTTCTGTATAAGATCCGCCCCACCATTCTCAACACATCGATCATGTAAACATTGAAGCATTGGTACATCGTGTATAAATTTTTGTTGTTAAATGCTTTAATTGCCAAAAATTTGAAACTGATCACACTTCTTCCAACAGAAAAGAAAAGTATTCTTGTAAGTTTTCACAAATCTAGCAGAAGTACGAACGAATGACAGACGTGATATTATTTTTAAGAACTATAAATAAAAACAAGAGAGGTAACTCTGACAAGCGAGATACTAGAGAGGTACCAGAGAGGGACTTTTTTTTTTAACACCATTCAAAATCAACATAATCATGCAAATTTGCTCCCGTAGTATAAAAAATATTTCTAAAAATCTTACTTATCATCAGTTAAAAAAACGTTTTAATTGTAAGTGTTATATTTATATTTTCTTAAAAGTATTTTTGAAAGCTCATGGAACTAGCTGCTGTCAAAGTGAAAGAGAAAAAAATATAGAATAAGAAATAGATGCTACATTGAACCAGACTTTCATTTATTTTTTTTAAATCTGTTACATGTGCATCTATTCATTTGAACATGAAATTATTTCTTAAAAAATTGAATTTTAATTGTTTTTTTCTCAGTAATAATGATCATAAATTTAAATAAAATAAAATTATATTTAAAAAAAATTGTTTCGTCTTATTTTTGTTGTTGCCACTTCCGATGTAAGTACACTGTACTTGAAAACAAACAAAAACTACCGAATGAAATAAAATTCTTCTAATTGTTCTAGCTTAAAAAAAGTTTACATGTATGTATACCTGATGTGAGAGAGAGAGAGAGAGAGAGAGAGTGAGAGATGTTACATTAAATTCAGTTTATTAATACAATGTGAAATGTGAAACAGAACAATATCGTATTATGAAAAGAAATCTCTATCTCTTTTTTTTTCTTTTGCTGTCTATTTATTTTCAGTAACTCGAAAATATAACATTTTGGTAATCGTGTTGTGCATAAAAAAGTTCAAAGGTTTTAGCTTTATCTGTAGTTTTTAGTCACTTAAAAGTCAAATATATGTAATCCTTGTCATTCATAGAATCTCAGCATTGTATGTCATTACAGTTCTATTATCAATCTAAAACTCGTTTTCTTATTGAAATAATAATCTCAGTTATCGGTTTAGTATGATATTGCTTAACTTGCCGTTGAATTATGTTAACGGCTGATTTTGTTATTTGGATTTATTGAAATAAATCTTGTTAAGATCAAATTGTATTTAAATATGCATTGTACAAATTAAATTAAATGCTAAAAATATACGGCACAAAAGACTAAGAATATGTTTGCAAGTTTTTATTTTTGTGGCAGTGCAGGAGACCGGGGAAGAGGGCCAGGGTCATTTTATATTACCGGGACCTAACTACTTTACAGTGTATCTGTAAAGCTTTACAAGGATAAGCATATCCAAGTCTCTGGCATGGGGCCAGAATGGAATTTTTATATTGTAAAACTTCATATACAATAACATTTGAAAACAATAACATTAGAATTTCATACGATAAAGAAGCCGCGAGAAATGTGGGGGGGGGGGGGGATTCTACACACACCATCACATAGCAATAATTACATGTACCTAAATGTGTGCCACATTGTAAAAAATTGTCACTTAAAAACTCAGCCAGTCAAGGAATATTATGAACCAGTCGCATTTAACTGACTGGATATATAAAACTTTCAATTAATTTTTACCCCCCCCCCCCCCCCCCGCCGAAAAAATTCTATTAATTAATCTGCATGTCATTGATTCATAACGACAACATATATATCATTATTTATGATTTATTTTTTTGAAAAATCTATATTATATTAATTTTAAAAAATGACATATTGATTTCATTCAAAGTTCGGATAAAATTTGTTGAAATGACAATAAAATATCTGATATCTATTAATACCCAGTGTATACATGTTCTTCTAAAACCATTTAATTTTACAAAATCAAACAAAATCGTTATTCTAGGACGCAATTTTTCTCATGATTAACTAGATTTGATAGCAGTTAAGTTTCCAGTTCCAGGTATGTGGAGCTCATGATCGCTGTTTGTTTTGAAAATGACTCTGCTCATATACATGTACGTAAGGAGAGAGTTCAAGATGCAAAAATAAATTGAGGAATTATTTCAATATTATTTCAAACCTAACCACATGACGTATTTGGAGGTTATGGGGTTGGTGGTGGGAAGGCACCCCCCCCCCCCCCCCTGCACACCTAAAATATAGGAAGATTTTAAAAATACGACAACCCTCGTATGCTATTAAACTCATGTTAACTACAAGTAATGTATGTTTCTGTCATTTAACTTTTAACCCCCCCCCCCCCCACACACACACACTACCAACCACTGGTCATCCTGGATCTGTTGTGTTCCTTTCATTTTAAATGCATGTGAATCATAATTCATTCATTTGTTTATAATTTATCAACCTGCTTACTTAAAATTAATTATTCAAAAATTTTCCTTGCTGTGACTGGAAAAATGTGTATCACTTCAATTAAAAAAAAGAAGTTTTGTTACCACATGCGAGCAGAAGCCCTTCTGATTTTTTGTTTAAAAATTTTTTATCGAATATTGCTTAACATGCAGTGTATCAACTTAATGTCCTTAAATTGTTGTACAGCATATACGGTAACTCACTACATTTCACAAATTTTCTGTCTAATTATATTTAGAAAACAAAACAAAACAAAACAAAACAAACAAACAAAAAAAAAAAAAACAAAAAAAAAAAAACAAACAAAAAAAACCAACAAATTTTCACTACCCAGCAGCATCTATTTTATTGTTGTTACCACGAATTTTTTTGAAATAATTTTTAACTTCACATTTTGAAAGAGATATCGTTTATACTGGATTCAACCCCCCCCCCCCCAAAAAAAAAAAAAAGAAATTGACATCTTGTCCTATCGAGAGCCATGCTTAAAATGAGACGATTTTCTAATGAATTCTACAGGTTTCTCAAACGATTATTATACGAGATAAATACTTTGGTTTTGAGAGAATAAATTGATATTGAACAGAAGCCGCTTGCTTCTCGGGTTTTCCTGACATTCCAGCATAGTGAAATGTAAAACAAACAAACGAACAAACACTCATAATTCTATACACCGCTGCATGATGGATAATAGTTAATACAACTATTTATTATATTATACAATTATTAAAAGAGACAAAGACTCAAAAATGTTTCTGGAAATGCTCAATAACATACATTTATTATCATAGTACAATGCAAAGTGAAAGTCATGTTCACTCTGAAAACTTTTGACGTTGGTGCGAAAGTAACATGACGTCATTGTTTACCTGTTAAAGTATCATTGATATAAATGAAGAAAAACCCACTTAGAGTTGACGTAGGGCCATAAAAATTCAGATTTGGCAACTTCTAACCTTGCTCTATTAATATCCATGAAAAACTTAAAATGTGTAAAAATTGCCATAAGGGCCCTTTTCCCATGGGCGCAATCATATATATATATATATATAAATATCTGTGTGCGCGTGTGTGTGTGTGTGTATAAAACAATATTCTTATTACAATTTAGATACTATAGAAAATCATTCTGTCAAAAATATTTTTTTTCCAGTAGGTATGATTTTAAACTTAAGTAATAACAGTTTTTGCAAAAGCTATGACAGCACAACAGGATTGAAATACCTTAAAGAGATTTAGTATTTTATTCGCAAAACAAGAAAATGGAGTTATCTATTTTAAAAATATGTGTGCATTACAAGTGTTTCCTACCTTGTACTTTGAGCTCAAATCAATAGAGGTCTCCCATAATTCATATACATTAAAGTCGTAATTTAATTTCAAAACTTAATAAGCAAGTCTATCATTTGGAAATCACTATATGCAAGAAACTTTTTGATCTAAAATTCAAAATTTGTCCTTTTTAGTTCACTTGGATTTATAATACAAGATTCCATTGCAAAAGATTCAAAGAAAACTAGTGTTGAAATTTTGAATCTATATTTGCAATTATGTCCTTGACCTCTGATCTTTTTAAAGAAATAATAACAGGACTTTAGCATGCAAACAGTCCGACAGACCCAAATTAATATTTTATTATAGTTGTGAATGATGAAGACAGAAATGCATTTGCTTTAGCTCTTTTTACTTTTACATATACCTCAAAGTTATGAGTCAATGATCGACTTGATAAACACTTTTTATCTGAAAGCAAACCTGTAGTTTTTAGAATTTGTGCAGTAGCCCAGCAGCTAACTATCGCTTCACCTATGATGTTTGACAGTTTCAAAGGATCATCACTGTTAACGTCAAATACACCAACCTGTGTGAAAAGAAATCGTCCATAAAAATGCCCTGAAAAAATAAATACAGTAAACCAGGAGGAGATATTCCTCTTAATAATCCGATCCAACATCTGGTGTTTCTAAGAATTTATACTACTATTCCAGTATCGTCTCTTCAAGAGACCGCTTACTGTCTTATCTTTTATCACACCTCCTGTGTTTTATTTGGATTCTTCACATTTCGTTTGAATTACATATTTGTATTATTTAATCATTTAACATTATCATGAACTGTAAAATATTTTTATTATTTTTATCTAAGAAAATTAATATTGAGGTGAAACAATTACATGTATGTGTATTTAAGGAGTTCAAAAGTATTCATTTCACAAAACAAAAAAAAAATAGTCGAATGTTTCCTTCATTTGAAAAGTAACAGTCTCGCAGAAGTGAGAGATATTTCCATAAATTTATTATTTTTCGCGGGATTTAAAATTTTATGAGCCCTGTGGGCCTTTCAACAACCCTTCTTACGATAAATTTATTCCTTTTCACACAAATTGGTGGGAGATTCTTACGTCTAAAATTTGTCATAACGAGAGCTCTAACCCTCTCTTGAGTATTTTAGAATCGATGTGATTGTATAAATATAACCGCAAAAATCAAATTACACCTTAAATTGAACTTTTTAAAGCAACTTACAATAATACTTTATATTTTTTTCACAATTTTTTTCATTATTGTCCAAAACTTACGTGTAATACACTACAAAATATTTACGATGTAAGGTTAACTAAAGATTTTCGTATGACCTATACTAGTTTTAACACTGGTCAGAATTATTTACATATTTATATATTTCACTACATTTTATTTTATCTGAAGTGTTTATTATTATTATTTTGTTAATAAACTAATATTCTTTCTTGCTGTAATTATAGCGTTTATCGCAACAATTGAATTGCGAACCCGATAAAATTCCAGTTTTGAATTAATAGATAATCTAGAAAAATTCATATGTAACGCCTTAAATATTTAGGGTAATGAATAATTATTGCCAAGTAACATAATTCTGGCTTCTGTTAAAATTAATATCCTTAATATATTTCACGGAGAACAATAGGGTCTTCTCTCAAGAAACACTGTATAAAATTTGCCTAACACATTGAACGTATTTGTATAATATCGAGATGTCGCCTCGTAAAAATTGTTTCAAAAATTGTCAAGGAGATAAAAATTAATTATGTTAAAAATATTAGATAACTACAAACCAGATCAGATGCCGCGGCGATAGCTTCTAATTGCTCTGTGAGGAATTTTAAAGTTTTTTCATCGAAACGAATTCCGAAGAGAACACTTGCTTTCTTTCTGAGAAGTTCTGTGCTGAAAGATATATTATTAAATACAACAGATCTGGTTCTCTATATCTGACCATGAAGTTAAAAGTGGAAAAAAGCCTGACAAAGACAGAAATAAATGAAAGAATATCTAATTAAAAAAATTTCTTTCTTTGAAAAACTTCAAAAAATTGCTTGACTTATTTTTAGAAATATTAAAAAACCGGGAAAAAATACAAACTTTTCCATATAATCCAATATAAGATCGGCAGCTTTTCCCGATCCTTTGATAATGATCACCGGGATATTCTTTTTCAGAGCTTTGGCTATGTGTTCTATCGTATGTATATCGCCTTCACATGCCAAGATGACGATTGGAATAGGCAACTCTGATAAAAACAAGAAGATAGAAATCTAGTGAAGTGTTTTGTGTATATCGTTTACAAATAAGACGACAGACCTATTAGGTATATTTAAATATCTACATTTGTACTAGTATATAATTATCATAAATAAAGCTTTTAAAAATCTCGCGGAACATAATAACTCGTGGTAAAAGGATAATTCAGAATTATGAAACCTGAATCGATATATCATAAAAAGCAAATACATTTACTTAAGTCTATTGTTTGACTAAGAAAAGGAACTTCTTGTTGAGACACATATACTTCAAAGTCGAGTAAGAAAGCAGTCTTGTCTGTATCTTTTGTGGTCCGAGCCTGAATTTGCAAAAAAAAAGAAGAAGAATAATATTTGTGTGAATTTAGGTAAAGTAGTAAGTAGAAGAGAAAAAAAAACAACAAGAGGCTTCAACATTTAAGAATATCTCAGTATTTGTTTCTATCTGTGCATTATATCAAGAGAGTATAAACCTCTTCGCAAATTTATTTTAACTTAAAATGTTTTTGGTTATCATGTCAAATAAAGAAATAAAAGTTTTTGTTCTATATGAAATCTATATGCCATTGTCCCCTATATATAGCTTTGACCCAAACATGATCAAATTGGCCATTGCCTTAATCTTTAACAGAGAGGGCGCTTTCATTAACATATTGCCATTGTGGTGTGTTTCTGATTTTTGGCATTTAGTAGAAAAATTAAATGCAACTAAAAACGATACAATATTTTTTTTTGGTCATAGTAGCGAAATACATTAATTAGTTGAAAATACATGTACTTTCTAATCGAATATACGAAACTGAAAATGTCAACATCAGTAACATATTAGGATGTTTAACTACGGAAAGAAATATTTTCTCCAGAAAACCAACCCAGTGATAGGTTATATAACATATAAAACGATCAAAGAACTCGCAAGATAAACCTCCATTAATAATACATGTATGTAAATGACAAAAAAAGCTATAAACAATACAAATATATGAAGAGGGCATACAAAACGGACCCCTAATAAACCAGAGGTGAACTCAGGTGTCTAGGACGATTAAGCATTCCCTGTTAACCGGTCACAACCGCCTTGAACCCTATGTATTGATCAGGTAGACGGAACATTCCGTAGTCAAATCAAGTGTAAAAACCAAGGTCTAACACTTGGTTTCTGTGATATATTTCTGCATTTGAAAAAATCACTCTGTTACCGACGACAACATATACTTAGGATCTTCAACAAGCCATGAATAAAGCCTTAATTCATTCTAAAAAATGGGGTGATAAAAAAGTATGAAACTCTGTACATAGGATACCCAATTTTCGCAGATAAAATACTTTAAATCAAACGATCTAAAAGTCAGTCAACCCACATTACTAACAAAGTTCATTCCGAAATCCCATACACTTCCCTAGATATACTGAAAACAATTCCAAAATTGACATACTTTTTTTTCACTCGACATAATCTCGGGTCCCTGGTCATTCACATGTATACAGGCGGAGTTTGAACTGCAGCAAAAAGCTGCACAGTATTTGCACAATCTTTATACATTTTTGGTTGATATTAAACTCCAGTTCGTAAGGAATTCTGTTATAATTCCCTTCGCGTTTATAAATTAGAAAACTCGTTTTCACAATTATGATTAAACGAAACTTCCTCGGAACGCATAATATATATATATTTTTAAAAAAAAAAATTAGAAAGTTGTCGGTATCTTTTTTAGACAATATGAAAATCAGGTAAAGTTTTGATAAAAATGAATGCTTATAAGCAAAAATACGAAGAGTATAGAACATATTTCGGTAAAAATTGTCTCGCCGTTCCCGCTTGACAATTGGTCCAAATGTTCAGAGACTGAAGCTTCAATGTCGATTTAAAAAAAAAGTCAATTTTGGAATTATTCTTAAGAAGTATATGGAAATTCAGAATGAATTTTAGTAGTAATGTAGACTGTATGTGAATAGGTATGAATTGAAAGTAAAGTTGTATGAATTGAAAGTAAAGTTAGATCATTTGATTTACACTATATTATTGCCGAAAGTGCGTACCCTTGTATTGAGATCTATTCCTTTATTTTTTTAAAACCCTGAATTAAAGCGATCTTAATTCCATTGAAATACACTACGAAATTATTATCGTTCCTTATCATCAATATAATTATTCTGCACTATTATAAAAAGTAGGATAAAATCAAATACATGTATTGAACATGGAGCGTTTATAAAAAAAAAAATTACAATATCACAGATATTCCTAAAGAATGCCTATAGAGGGACGGAAGGACTTACCTATTTTTCCATCATGTGTCAGCGTGACTTGAAAATATAAAACTAATCACTAAAAGGATGCAATTATACACAACACATATCTTATTTAAAAAAAAAACATCAAATCAAATAAAACATATATAAATTTCCGGATCATGACAAGGAGCACAAGGCGGGTGTAACCGGTTGTAATGTGATGCTCACTCCTCCATAGAACCTTATCTCACATCTGATGTTTTAAAGGTCCGTGTTTGCCGTGCTCCTGATTTGTTTTGTGTGAATTGACTTTTGAGCTTGAATACTGTTGTATATATATATATATATATATATATATATATATATATATATATATATATATATATATATATATATATATATATATATATATATATATATATATATATATACAATTGTGATTTATACTGAAATTTAAAAAAAAAAATGATTTACCTCGTCTCTGTCTTCCATATCTATTACATTTAAATCTCCTTTTTCTTCCATCTTAAAATTTAAAAAAAAGGTTTATCAATATACTTTGAAATCAAGAAAGGTGTAACATTTTGTAAATACCCGGTAAATTATAGCCTTTGACACGCTGCATGGTGAAATTTGACAAAGAACATAATTATAAAGATCCCAATTACAAGCTGGGGAACGGGGAAAAACGTGTTAAATCCATGCATTTTTAGTTCATCTTAGATGAAAGTTCGAGTGTAATTAAAAAAAAAAATATCTTGCCTGTGGTCCATCTATGTTACAGTAGACTTTTATAAAAGAATAAAATTTCAACAAATTTCGCCAATAAGCATTCTCCAGGAAATTAAATGGGACACGAGTTTATTCGAGGCAAAATCTAAATTCCCTTTTAGGAGAGGTAATTATGATTTCATAAAAATTGATGATGTCTTTTAATATTATTATTTAAAGACCGAAAGCGAAATATAAAACAAAGCCTTTGTCCTTAGTGTAATTTCACATTTGTTCACCTTACGAACTGAGACAAAATAGAGTTGAACTTCGTTAATCGGGACACCAAGAATCCGGACTCTTCACCTTTTGGATGAAGATTGTGGGGAGGAATTTATTTCCAGATATCAGGCCTTTTTCATTAATTCGAAGAAGCGTACGGATTACGAAAGCTCCCGGTACATTAGATCTACTTAAATACAACAAGACCAGGACTGCTCCCCCTTAAGAAAGTTTTTTTGTGGGCTTCAAAATTCTCTGTTTTCTATAAATTAGGGAATATGTGGGTTTATTCTTTAAAAAAAAAAAATCAAAATACATGGTGAGAGTCTAAGCGATTTCTTCTAATTTTTCCACAATATTATGTGGATCTTTTCTACATATTGAAATTATGTTACATAGTAAAATATTGACAGATCAGACATTCAATGCATTTCTAGTTATTACTGAAGCATGAAAAAATAGTTGCTTCTTTCGGCATGAGTGGATCTACAATATGCTGTCAAATCGTCTCATGATATATACATGTGAAAGGGAGTCTTTTATCGGAAAAGAATTAAAATAACCCAAATGTGTTTTTTTTTTTTTTGGCTCACTGGTCTCTTTTTTAGAATAAAGAATGACAATGACGGTTTTATCAGATATTTCTGAATAAAGGTTTACGTATACTTATGTTCAATTGTGAAAGAATTAGTCTGAAGAATGGTATTTCTAAACACTCCGTGTTTAAACCGCTTTTATCGTCGTATCACAAGAAACTAATCCTGAATTATACTAAAATATGTTTTATTTTAAAGTTCATTACCATATACCAATATACCATTAAATATAGTCCCTAAAAATATTGTGTACTTTACCACATTATATCGAAAAAAAGAATTATTAAACCATACTGAGTATTCTTAAAGCACTATTTGTTAAGGATTATGAACATCGAACAATTTTTTCTTCAAAATATATATATCTTCCTTATAGCCTGTTATTAAAAATACAAGAGGCCCATGGGCCTTATAGGTCACCTGAGTATCATGCAACAATTTTGCCACAATTAAATTGGATTCACGTTTTAAACCAGAGGTCATGAAATTTACATTTCGAAAGAGGCACACTTGCTCATCATAACTTTACATTCAGTAAGCTTACTTAATACCAAGAAAGAGAGCAGAGGATTATCAAAGAATTAATGCATTTTCACTACGTTATCATTAGAGCCCTGCCCTAACACCAAATCTATGACAAAGGGGCCATAAAATTAACAATTTTGGAAGAGGCACCTCTACTTATCATAACTAAAAATTCAGTTTGTTTGCTAAATAGTCATGATCAAAGAAGACGATTTTCAAAGAAATAATGCATTTTCACCATATATTCCACAGAGCCCCGCCCTAACACCAGAACCCTTGACCCAAGGGCCATAAATTTTACAATTTTGGAAGAAGCACCCTTACATATCATAATTAATGCATTTTCATTATATATTCAACAAAGCTCTGCCTTAACACCAGAACCCCTTACCCTGGGGCCATGAAATTCACAATTTTGGAAGAGGCAGCTTTCATCATCATCATAACTATACATTTATTTTGTTTCATAATATCCAGGAGCAGAAAAGAAGCTTTTTAAAGAAATAATGTATTATCACTATATATTCAACAGAGCCCTGTCCAAGCACCAAAACCCCCGACCCTGGAGCTATGAATTTCACAATTTAGGTAGAGGGCTCAATACTTGATGTCCAGGAGTAAAGAAGAAGATTTTTAAACATTGCATTACTTTTGATTGTTTTGGCCCCTACCCTCACGCCCCAGGGGGTAGGGGTGATGAAATTCACAATTTTGACTGACTTCCCTTTATACATAGTTGCTATATGCAAAATTTGGTTGAAACTGGTTTAGTGGTTCCAGAGAAGAAGCTGAAAACGTTCAAATGTTAACGCACGACGAACGACAAACGACGCACGCAGACGGACGAAAACAGATAGCAATAGTAATCTCAGGTGACCTAATAAATGCCTGAGTTTCAGTAATGAGAGCATTGGCTATTTCTTTGAGGTCATTATTCAAAGCCTAAGCGTTAATTTTATATGTTATATTTTGAACAACTGTTGAGATGCAAGAAGAGATTGAATCTTTTTTCCTAAAATAAAGGGCAGGGGGGGGGGGGGGGGGTTAAATGAGCTATAGAAAAATATGTAAGTACATGTATACTTTTCATTAAACAAAATATTTATCTGACATTTTTACAAGAAGTTCACGTCGCCTGCGTGGCGCATTGGAAGAGCGTCTGCTCTAGAGCTGTGATGTATTGAGTTGATCCTTACGTCGTAGGTTCGAATCCCACTATGGGACGTGGAGACCGGTCCTTCGGATGAGACCGTATAAACCGAGGTCCCGTGTCGCAGTAGGTGTAGGCACGAAAAAGATCCCTCACTGCTCAATGGCCCTAAGTGCCGAGTATACGTAAAAAAAATTGCAGCTCTCAACAGGAAAGTTGGTAGCGTCTCCATATGAGTGAAATATTTTCGAGAGGGATGTTAAACAACAAACAAGAAGTTCACATCAAAAACATTCTAAAGCTTTCACAATCAAAATACACACTGACATACATAAATTCTGCAGTAATGCATAGATCATTTCATAAAACTGATTTATCGGTATCAACTTATATCAAGGTACATCATAACATCATAAACCTTGTTCGTCTCAGGGGATGCAGTTTCTCCAGGTAGGCTTATCAGTTTCACCCGTCTCTCTGAATCGTTCATGGGAACGCTGTGGTTCTTGTCGCGAAATTCCATGTCCCCGTACTTTCGGTACGCACTCCACACAATGGAAGACACACCATAGTCATTTCCTCGATAGAGGATCCATGTATCTAAGCAAATTACTATAAAGTTATTTTTCTTTTCTAAAATGAAAGGAAAGTAGTATTTCCAGAAATAATTTCGCCTAGCATAATCTCACACGTCAATAAATAACATTCTAAAGCGATGAAGATTCTAAAAAGGACCAAAAAGAAAAGTTACACATTTCTCTCTGAAAGCAAATTAAAAACCTGTGTTATTTATATGCAATTGAAGAAAAAGCGCTTAGGACAGATAATTTTTCCTGAACATATATTGAAAACAAGAATAACTATTTATTTATTTAAATAACACCTGTATTAAGAAATAATATTTAACATTGTGGACAGTAGTCCACATTATATTACACATTATAATATTCATTTTTTAAATAACACCTTTATTAAGAAATAATATTTAACGTTTTGGACTGCTGTCAATTAGTAAGAATGACGCGAATTTTTATTTAAGGATTGATTTTAATTCTTGGCCAAATTATTCGAGTATAACCTAGGTTTGGTCAGTTTACGCTTTATAATCTGCGAAGCGGATTATAAAACAGCGTAAACTGACCCATACCAGGTTATACTCGAATAATTTGGCCAAGAATTAAAGTCATTCCTTATAATTTGATTTTAAAATCATGAAACAACTGTGAGTGTAGAATTTCATAGCTTTTTATTAGCTCAAATATGCCTCTCAATAATACAACTGTAGTAATGGAAGTGATGGGAAGTGAGGGATCTAGAAACTGATACATATGCCTAGCAACTACGTTTGTTTACATGTGGTAAGATCGAGTTAGTGTTTGTATTTAAAGATTTATTAATTTTATTACATGAGGAATTTTCCATGACTCCGAAGGACTGGAAATGCGAGGATTGCATGTATACAGATAATCCAGCTGGTTGTCGGGGGTGGGGGGGGGGGGGCATACCAAACCAGAATATACATAATAGTTTGTGTTCCTTTCTGGATATTGACCAATCAGAGGCCAGAATACAAATATGAAATTATATTACATGATTAATAGTCAAAGAGGATTTTGTTTTTTACTTGACATAAAGGTAAGAAATGTGAAACACTTTTTTAGTGAAAAACCTATCTGTTATTTCTTTACAGCCGTTGCCATTTTTAATGTCTTTTGTTTTGTGAAAGTCACCTTTGTAGCCTCTTACATAAGATTTTATCGTATCTTATATCATAAGATGAAAATCATATACGGTACCAATTATGATGCACCGAGTGCGCATTTCAACATTTTATCGAGGAACAATCTACGTTTTCACGTAGCGTTGTTTCAGACGCGTCACAATACCCTTGATTGCCGTTACAATTGAATACAATAACGTCAGAGACAAAATGACTTTAAACTGTGCTAAAATATATCTCTATTCTGGTATGTCTTGACTGTGCGTGTTTAGAGCTCATTCATTCTGATATTTTTATTAATATTCTTGTGTTTTAATGAAATGTTTTGATTAAAAACAATCTTGTAACATAATTTATTATGAGATGTCAGTGTCATTTCAGAAGCAGATATTTATATAATTTTTATCTTATTTTATTATAATATCTGAGTTTTAAACAATGCAAACTAAAGTAGACACATGTAGTCTTTCTCCTTGAAAATCTTTATTTACCAATTTTGTCTAGTATTTGATGAATCTAAGAGGTGTTCCTAATTCGTTTAAACATTTAGAGCGAAACTTTACCAGTAACTGATATTTTGTAATGAATGAAGCTAAGGCCTACACTAATAATAATAAAATTGTGTTTTACATTGAAAAACTAAATATTTTTTTTCGGTATTTCTCTACTGGAAAGTATGGATGCATGATTTATCCATTTATTTTTTACTACCGAGACTATATGTCAAGATAAAGACAAACCCTCAGGCAATAAGCATCTTTGTGTGAAGTGGAAACTCCCAACATTCCATCATTATACTCCATCAGAAAGATGTAGACCAGACATGAATTATGAACTTCTTTCTGTCAGTAACCTTGAAATTGCACAAATGACCTAGGGTCAAGATCATGATACACCCTCAGGTCATGAACAATCTTTGTGTAAAATTGGAACTTACCAAATTTTTCCATAAGAAAGATATGGACCGTAAACGAATTAGGAACTTTTTTTTGTCAGTGACCTAGAACTTGCCCAATGACCCTCTGTCAAGGTCATGTCACACATTTAGGTCATGAACAATCTTTGGGTGAAGTACTAGATTCTAATGTTTTTCCGTAAGAAAGGTATGGAAGAGACACGTTTGCACAGACAGATTTGATTCCTGTTTCCCCTCCCAAATTTAGTTTGCGGGGATGGAGGTAATAACATCAGTCAATATACCCCCCGCTTGAAAAGTGGGAGGGTATACATATAAATTTTAGAGTATTGGTGTGTACATGTACAATCAGAATGTTTTTAACGAAATAATTTAGCAAATGACCATAACAAGGTAAGTAAATTTACAAGCTCCATTTTATTAAAAAAGCTGTCAATGATTTCCAGATGCCTGGACTTTAATTTATAGTGGAAGTGGTTGTATAAAAGTAGGGAGGTTGTACGTTTTAATGTTATTATTTTGGTTAAATTTTGTGATGTCATTTTTCAAGTGCCCTGGAGTTTTTAAATGCCCACATCTGATTTAAACCACTTCTCGAATAAAATGTTGTACAGTACTTTTGAAGTTTCTCTGCTGTGAATATTTTAGTGAGGAGTAAAGAAAGACCTTGGTAGAACAATAACTGAAACCCGCTATGTATCTTTGTTTGTAAGTATTTTTAAGGAGTTTTATAATCCGGAATATAGTAGGCGTGACAATTGAAATTCATTTTGTTTTTTTGGGAACATATGATTTTGAAGAATTTCCTGCGTAGATAGAGAGCTATGGGTATACTGTATAAGTTGGATTACCACTTGCAGAATTAAATCCTAGTTCCTCTAAAATACACATCAAATAATGAGCCTTAAAACAAAGACAATATTGATACCTACTTTGTCAGCAGAACCAATACAAACAGTATATACAAAGTGAATTTGTTTATGACCAATCACAAGATAGGAAAATTTCTGATTTTTATTTTTTGATGAAGAGGTAGTTGTTTATAATTTTAAACAAAATTATATATATAAAAAAAAAAAAAAAAAAAAAAATTTACACCTCTTTTTTTCCACCTCTGGAATTTCCGGGGATCCGTGTTTATGTCATGTTCACAGATTTGTATTTTTTTAAATCTTCATTTTAAATATTTTGGATTTTATTTTAAGCCAAGGCATCCTGTATTGTATTACCTGTATGAATCAGACAACTTTTAAATCAGTACTAAAATGTACGATAATTCATTTCAGTCAAACTAGCCTACCTTGTTTCGGTTAATCTTACATTGCTGTGGTAATTAGATATATGTCTTAAATAACTTACCACCTGCACATTTAGCCGCCTCAATCAATGCGGTCTGGAAAACTGATTTTGCCCACGGTCTGGGAACAAAACTGTCGGAATCCCCGATGACAGAAAATACCATTGTTGGGGTAGAAAATTCTTTCTCGTTTTCTCTCCAATATTTCTCAACGACACAATTTCCCTTTTAACAAAATTAAACCGTGATGAAAAGTATGTTAGTAAAAATGCCCAGTTAAAAACTAGGTAAGAAATCAAAAGATTATATTGTTAATTATTCAGGGCATTAATAAGTATTTGATGCTAAGAATAAAAAAAAAATATCATTACGCTACATTTAATATAAGGTTATAGTAAAGAATTTTAAAGACTACATTCAAGAGAAAGATTTTTTTGTTAAAAAACCACATTATAAAATTACAGGAATGTACAGAGAGTGTTAACAATTATAACTATTAAATCACATTTCATCAGTAAAGCTTTCAAATCTAAGGGTGGACAAATATTAATTTATCAACACGATAGCGAATAACTAATAAGTAAATAAGAATTGTTTAAGACATAATTAAAATTTATTTATCCATTCTATATATTTTTGAAAAAAAAAATTGTTTTAAAAAAAAAAGATTTCTTTCGTCTTTAACTATATAAACTTTTTGAATACAACCGCATATTTTATTTCTAAAAATCTTTAAACACGTATCCTCTTTATCGTGAAATCATACATATCTAAATTTTCAAAAGAGTAAATGACAACAGTAAATCAGTACTTTAGGTTTTGTTGTGCATAAAGATTTTTAAGGCTACTTTCAGTAATATTTAGTTTCTTTATTGAATACTTCGATTTCTGCGAATTTTCAACTAAAAATGTGAATTACATTCTGATAATAGCATGTATTTTCTCATATACAGAATAAATGCCTTTATTTTACGAGAGAAGTATTTTGTTAGAGTCTGGTTATCCCCGACTGAAGAAGTATATAAAGGCTCGGGTTTGTCATTCATCTTCCTTTCTGCTGGGACGTAAACAAACATACAATCAATCAATCCTTTCTGCTGAACTTTTTAAAGGTAAAGATCTGTTTAAAGTGTTGTTAAAATATTTAAGTAATTTTGCCTTGTAAATCTCAAATATATTATTTTTCTTTATTATTTTTTTTTTATTTCCAACATATGTCAAGCAATATTCTCTAGGTTTATTTCATAAATACAGCGGATGACCCTGGATTATTAATTTGCATGTAGCAGACGAACACGTGCGTTATCTCTTAATCATGTACATAAGCAGTCATTAATTATCGTTGGGCAATTCAATTTATTGCTTCGTCGGCTGTCTCTTTTTATAATCCAAAAAGGAAATTGGATGGTATTGTTTTTAATTTTTTATATATTACCAGACGCGCACTTTTCATGTACTCGTGTCAATTTTTCAGCATTAATTTATTGTCATCTCCCTCGGGAGATGACACTTTAAGGTTTTGCCAAAGGTCAAGATGTCCACAAATTTATTTTTACAATAGCTCCAAAACTATGTGAGGTATAAAGTTAATAATTTTACAGTTTATAAATATATGTACAAGTACCTTGCTAAAGTATGAGTGTCAACAATATGAACTTTATTAAATCTCAAGAACCTATAGCTATCGAAGAAATCTTTCCTGGTCTTAGTGTATTTAGGACATAATAAAAAATAATGATGTGTGTCTTCTACCTAACCACAAGAGCATAATGGACTAGATATTATGTTACACCTATAAAGATCAACGTTAGCACAGCACACAATTGTGTCGAAGTCTAGGGTGCGGTATATTTTAGCGTCTTTTTCCAAAACTGAACTACGACGGTGTAACTGTTATTTTTTGTGTGATTTTACTTTTAAAAGCAGACAAGGAGCTAGAAATACTGATGTCTAGAGATAAAGAATTCCACTGGTTTATTACAGTTGGTACAAATGATAATTTGTATGTTTGCATGCGCAGTCTACAAACAGGTATATTATAATTTTGAGAATTTCTTGTATACGCGGTAGAGTTACATCGCACTTCAGGTATAATCTCACATAGAGAGTCAGGAACTAAATTATTATGAATTTTATACATGGTATTCAATCTGTGGATCTTGCATCTATCACTGAGCGGTCCCCAGCCTGTTTCAAAGTACAAATAGTCTCTAAATGCAATTAAGGTCAAGCCAATAACGATCCGAGCTGCATGTAGTTGCAATATCTCTAATTTGTCAGAATCGATTGCAAGACAACCACCCCATACGACTGAAGCGTATTCGAGTTGAGGGCAGATAAATGAAGTATACATGAGTGAAAGATTCTTTCGATTTATTTTGAATTTAAGTCTTTTAATAGACCCATTTTTGTATGCATTAGACAGAAAGATTCAATGTGAGATGACCAACTTAAATTATACTAAAAAATTTACTAAATGTTTATGAGTTTGAACATATTCTAATTGGCTATCTTGGAATATGATTTTGAGAGGTTCTCTGTTTTTTCTTGTGTTAACAAATACAACCTTAGTTTTTGAGGGATTAAATTTCAGTATCCATTTTTTGACCACTCTTCAAAAGATTTAAGATCATTATTCAGATTACTTTCTATATATTTAACACATTTAGATGCGTATTCCAAACTGTTATCATCAGCAAATAATCTGCAAAAGCTTGACCTCTTGTCAGATACATGTACATTATTTAATTGAAAATAACAATGGACCAAATACAGAGCCTTGTGGAACGCCGGCATATAAGGAAGCTGATGGGGATACCAAATTTTTGTATATAACTTTTGTGTTCTATTTTCTAATGAATTATGTGGAGATAACGAACAGTATTGGAGCTCAAAAGTCCATTAAACATTAAAAATAGGAGCAGAGCAAACACGGACTTCTAAGACATCCGAGGTGGGATCAGGTGGGATCAGGTGCCATGGAGGAATGAGCATCCCCTGTCGACTGGTCGCACCCGCGGTGTGCTCCTTGTCATGATCGGGAAATAACGGAAAAATCTGTCGACATTTTAGTGTATAAATAATTGCCTAACTATTTGTATGAAAAAAGTCAGTCAGGTAAAGAACTTTTTAACCAAAAATACATATTATTCTCTATACCTTATAAGGAAACTCTGCAGATTGATTAAATGTTTCATAACAAATATTTATGCAAAAAATCGTGAAGGTGATACTGTGCGGACTATGTTAAAATTAACAAAACATGTTTTTTTAAGTTTGCATGATTCAGACGCAATAGGCCCGGATTGTCCCTATAGTCAAATTTTTAGTGGATTTCTTTCATGCCTTAGAAAAAGTAATCAGATAAGCAGTTAAGTCTGTAAAAGTAGAAAATAAATCGATACATGCAAGCATTGTCTTTTTCTGTGCAATAACCTCCCCCTACCCCCCCCCCCCCCCCCCCCCCCCCCGTAGTAGCACAAGTACACTGACAATTATTTTTAAAGCAAATTTGTTTTCTTATTCCTCAAGTTCAATATTGTCAAATGTGTACACTCTGTTAGTGTCATTTTATACAAATTTGAAATAAATCCTGGATAGTCAGAAATTTTCCGATTACAATAAATGTACTTTCACTTCCGCGTCGCTGTAACCAAGCAACTACAGACTGGCTACATTTCCTGCTGCTGATAACAGAGTCCCGATTGTTTGACGCTAAAAATGTAGCCCGATCATGTTTACAGGTGATTAAAATCATTATATTTTTGCTTATCTGTGAAGCGTGTAATTACGAAGATATAATGTATGTGGAGAAACAGAATGAGTCTCTGTTATAATCACTAGATTCGCCAGATCGGTGGCTTTAGATGAAACAGATAACGGACATGTGTTGCAATTCAAGAGATTTGCTACAAGTTATAGGCTTTCGAAAACAATAAAATAATGTCTATGCAAGATATATTAATTGTTAATTTAATGTATTAGAAAATATGCCCAATTAAAGCCGTATATATGTAAATATATATCAACATATGATGCTATTTCAATTAAATGTATATCGTCGACCAAAACCCAAAGGTTGTTTTTGGAGAAAATAATTGTAAGCTCTAGCATATTAAATAAATATTAAACAATAGATTTGATATATAGATTATGAATATGTACGCTTCTAAAACTCCGATGGAGGACATATATGTAAATGTACATAAAGATGAATACTGTGTGTAAGTAACTTAGGATTAATTAGATCTATCTGCAGCCGATTTGAGTGAAAATGACGTCATAATCATTTTACGTGATTCGCACTTTCACTGGTAATGATCAATATTAAAATAAGCAGACCATTTTGGGGGCAGCGGGCATAACAGTGAGACAGTCTGAATAGAGAGAAACTTCAAAAAAATAACATGTACAAATACACGTATTGACCACTAAACAACATCAAATGACATGTACAATTTGTTATTTGGCCATATCAATACTTCACCAACATTCTATGGCATCATCTATTTTTCTGAGAGTTTTCATCGATATATTGAATATACGCAACACATATAACATGATATGGTGTTCGTTAGAGTGGATTACAGTATATGATACAATATGTACATCATCCAGGCATCGCTGCATTAGATCAAACGCTACCGCACGGATTATTGAAGTTTCCAGGTTGAGAAAGAAAATTGATTATTCCTCTTTTAATGTATACTAGTCGCCCGCGTGGCGTAGTGGTTAGAGCGTTCACTCTAGAGTCGCGGCGTAAGGAGTTGATCCTTACGTCGCGGGTTGGAATCCCACTGTGGGACGTGGAGACCGGTCCTTCGGATGAGACCGTATAAACCGAGGTCTCCACCGGCAAGTGGTGGAGTCTCCATATGAGTGAAAAATTCTCGAGAGGGACGTAAAACAACAAACAAACAAACACTAATACTTATACTCCCTCTTTACTCTATAAGATATTACATATGTTGCATTCAGTGTGTTTCAATGAACATGAGACTTTGCTTTTTAAAGCAGATTATTCATTTGCTTTCATTGCAATTATTAGAGATGGAGAAATTTGTTCTTTTTTCCGTAGGCAATGCATAACTCAATTTTGCAAATCTAAGATATTGGACTTGATTAAGATCAAGCAAATATGTTGTTAGTCATTAAACAATCTAAAA